GGTAGCCGAAAATACTGATCCCCTGTCTGTCGTGTTTACCAACATCCTTAAATGGTAATAATGGCGCTAATGAGGTGTCCTTTGAATTGGTGAGCGAAAATTAGGTGTGTCGTGGATGTTCTATTAATGCATACTTGGGCAGCTATTTTTGTCGTCATTTGTGCAGCCATATGTTTTTCGTCTTCCGGCAACCGCATACGAACGAGACGACTTTCGGTCTAGAGGTATTTACGCCGACGCCGAACAAGTTTAGATAATCTGCAGTAACGGTTGATTTAAAGCGTCGACGGATTAACGATGTTCTGATGGATGGAACAGCTATTTTGGTCCTTCGTTCACTCAAGTTGTCGTCTAAGTGTTAAGCCAAAATCTGCGATCTGCCTGAGCCGAGAAGATTCAGAGAACTCAGAGATTTTGGAAACGATAAAATCGGACAGGTGCGAACTGGACGTTGATCTTATAGCACCGTTCAGTCGTCATTTGCTAGCTTTAAGCTAAAAATAGAACCAAGGACCTGCAGATTCTTTCTGTTCCTCCTTGCTGCTTTCGTCATAGCCATTCTTCAATGGCTGCACCAAAAATGCTGCTGTTTTTCTCAGAACCTCAGCAAGAAATCTTTAGTCATTGAGATTGCCTGTGGCACCTAATCGAAATTCGAAATGTTCAGCAAGCATGGATTCGATATAACTGAAATGTACATTTTGCCTTTGGGACTTCGCTGCAGCATATTTCATCCGATTGATTGCGTTTTGGATGCTGCGGTTAGTGCTGAGTACGGTTTCCTCATACAAGTGAAAGACAAAAGAGCTTTAAGGAAGAAATCAACTGTAATGTTGGTCTTCAGGGTCGCAGTAACATCAGAAAGTCGAGTCCAAATCTGGCTGCATGTCACACTATGGCATTAAGAGGGTTGAAAACGAAGTTGAAGAATAACAAGGTGCAGACAAGGAAGCGAAGACAATGGGAATGCCTAAGAAAGAATATGAAACAATAATGCTTGAACACCTAGGTTGCAGTGACTCATGTTCTCGACTGTGTAGTGAAGAAACCATTCGCCAGCAGTTGCAACAAGTGTTGAGGAAAGACTTGCAGGAAAAGAAAGCTATCACCAAGGAAGGCATTTCGAGAATAGTGGCGGCTATTGATTCCCGTAAAACCTTCCAGCCGTATGAATTGGCAAAGCTTCTTAAAGCGGCATATCCAATCCGGCTAATCATTCCGGTTAGAGAGACAGTAACATACTCGATTTTAAACAGCTTGATTTGTAAACAGAACCTGCATGCTGCTAGCGGCATGACTCATAGAGTAAATGTCAGCCATGAACTTCTATTACGACTGAAAGAACATCAAGGGCAAGAATGTTTCAAGACATCTCTGGACGTCAGCGGCTCGTTTCAATGACTGAAATGCCAATACCCTTGGCGGTATGCTACTACACATTTTCAAACTGAAATAAGAGAGTGAAAAAATCAAAAGCGGTTTTGGAAATTACAGCATTGAGGACTTGATGGCAATTTTCCGCCATGTGATGGCAGCGCAATTTTAAAATTTGCCAGCAACATTTATCACCATAATGCTGTATATTCCAATGGCCTGCCCGGTAGTGTCGCGTTGACAGATCTCTCTGTAGATCATTTGAAGAAAAGGGTTCTTGAGGAATGCTTTGCAGAACTTCGGCCATTGTTCTATGCCAGATTTAATATTTTCTTATTAAATTCTATTAATATGTCTTATTCCAAAGAAAGAACGGATGAAGAGTTTCGCAGATTATATGAATGTACGGGACGTTAGCGGTCGAATACGAATTATCACTGAGGCTGAAGTGAGCCAAACTATACAATTATTAGATACGCTCTTGAGGATGCCATTGTCGCTTGAATTGAAAGTTTCTCTTTGGCAGCAACTGAGTACTCACTCTAAAGATACTTATTTCTGAGGTCTTGCGCCCCATCCGCGCTTTTCAGAAACACTGTGAGGAACAGCGTTTACCCGCGCTGAAACATGCAACATCGCCTGCGCCCTATACGCTGAAATTCGGCATTTTTATCACGTATTCTTGAAGAATGGCTATTCAAAGAAAACAATGGGCAGTGAACTACTGCACCTCAGTTATGAAGTGAATGCTATGAAGTCGAGTGAGAACAGCCCTTTAGTAATTTAGCCATGCGTACCCGAGTTATCTGAGCCAATCAGAAGATACCTAAAGAAAAAATGGATTATGGTCTACTAATAAACCGGCACAAGCTCGTAGATGGTATGGAAGAAGTACACCCGCAGTAGGCATTAAATCTGGTGACCGCGATAAATGCACGTTTGAAGACTCATCGGAAATTGAATATTCGGATGAAATAACTCTTATGTGCATTCCCCTTTGAGCATGCTTATGGCTCCGGTATTGTACAAAACGCAATTTCTGAGGATCACTCCATCATTCTGACAAATGTATCTGTAATGGTCAAAATCCGGTCAAAGCTTGGTTTACCGAAAAACGAGTTCCCACAAATTTTGTTGATGAAACATCGTACGTATAATGAATAATCCTCCTCTCTGGTGGTAAACGAAAGTTGGGATGTTATTCAGAACACAGATTAAACTCTAAGGGGTTCAAAATTATGAACGTGATGTTAAAAATCTGGTGCTAATCAGTCATTCACTTGCATAAGGAGGCCAGTAGCCTGATATGTAACTGTCCCCTGACGATGCTACGGAGTGTATAGCAAAATTGAAAATGTTAAGATCTGTGTGGTTTGGTGCCATCAATCATGAATCGACAGTGCATCCTGTAATTTCATTAATGGGCTCAGAACTGGAAATGTTATAACGTGTTTAGTAATGTTTGTTCCAAACCTTGACGAAAACGAGTTAGATTTTAAGGCATCAGCTATCAAGATGTTCAGGTGCCAAAAATCTATCTGTCATTCGGAGTAATCATGCTTTGGCCATATCCTATCCCGGCTTTCAATAAGCTGGCAAACTGTTGGTGATCCAGTTTCTTCGATGATCGCATGATGTGTGCACGGCTGTTACTGCTAGGTGAGAAGCCACTGTGTTTCATGGCCGTAATCTGTCGCCGTGTTAACTGAACTTGAACAGATGGTGGCTTTTCCATCATCGCAAAGTTTTGCGACCCAGAAGAAACAAACTGGGCGGAAGTGCAGTTAGGGCGTTTCCTTTTCTACTGTCCGGTGGTTGTTGAACAACTGTTGCGGGCCCAGTTGAGCCACCCGGCTTTAGAAATAGGAAGTGCAGCGAAAGATACGTGTAATATTTAAATGTCATGAGTCCACTAGTACAACTGCACACACGTCTATGTAGCCCTCTCTCCTATGCTGTTTAGAATTGTCCTCGAATACCTAATGAAGAAAAGCACCGACCATTGTGCAAAAAATAAATGGGCGTTAAGCGAAGGTGGAGCCCAATGGCACTAAAGGTCTGCGAGGCCTCCATTACGCACGCGTATGATTCTGTTAAACGAAACAAGAGATCGACAAAGGTTCTTTATAGAACCGGTTCAAGCCACTGCAGAAAGAGTGACAGTCTTCTCAAGGGAGTGATGAGGAAAACAGAAAGAAAAATGATGCCAGGCATATCATTCGATGAAGATCGGTTGCCTGAAATTGATCGCTTCAAACACTTGAGCAATACTGTTTCAAACGACAATCTCTTGACATAAAGCGCTGCAAAAGAATTGCTGTAACAGCGCAGGATCTGAAAGCTTAGCAAATACCTGACTTCAGCATAAAATCAGTTTGATGACGGAGATCAAGCCATCAATCATCATTCCTATTCTTCTGCACGGCTTGAAACAAAATCCTGTTGAAACAGTGACGACTGCTGCCTGAACGCCTAGCAGCAAGGGTACATGCCGAGTCTGTCACGGATACGTGGGGATGACCGAGTGACAAACTGGAGGTTGAGTCTACGACAGCTGCGAAACGTTACAGTCCCATACCAGAAACGATAAGTCACGTTGCTTGACGGTAAACTACGTGCAGAGGTTTAAAATCGCGAATTTGTTGGATTCGGTTTTCCCAGTAACGGAAGCCGCCATCCGGATTCCAACACCAAATGTGGAAAGATACCTTTTCCACAGACCTGAAGGTATTTCGCTTGATGAATCAATTAAACGTGCCTAATATCATGTTGTTTCGCTGACCATCCTCTGGACATCATAATTTTAAGTACCACAGGCTCTGATGCAGAACCTAAATGACTACAACGCATATTAGGGCTATACGTTAATGTTATGGAGTTGTGATAAGCGAATTCGTGCTGGCGACTCAGCAACAGCATACTATGATCAGTCTGATATTAGATCATTAAGGCCTTGATTGATAGACGTAAACAGTTCATGTGAAAATTGTGTACTTGCTCTTTTGTGTATCACAACATCTCTTTGTCCTAACACTTTCGCCGCCCTCCCTGTATCGGAAGATTCCCTGGATCGCTGGAGAAACGAACCCTTAACGCAGCAGCTCCATTGCTATGCGGATTGCCACATCGACACTTGGATCTGCCTCCTACAAAACTCTGCAAGTGTCATTTTTTCAATAATAGCCGTTTCTAAGTTTTTACTATTATCGACAGCTAACCAAGTGCTATTATGTGCTGGTGTCATTGAAGCGGCGTTTCAGATTTATGTTAAGCAAGATTTGATTCTGTGATGAAGCTCTTGCTACTCAGTACTCTTGCAAGCCGGCATAAGCCTGAAGGTCGTGTTTCCAGGTTTTATGTTCATCGTCAGTGCGTCTGCGGCCAGTGGACAGTTCTAGTGAGGAAAAGAGGTTTTGGCCAGAGTTCGCTCAGCCATTTCGTCCAGCAAATCCACGTGCCGTGTTAATAGACAATTTTCCTTGTAATACAATGGTGACCGCTAGCGAATGACCTTCATGGCTAAACTAAAACAATGTGCGTTTACGCTGTTTTGAATTGTACGCATTTTTAGCTCTGTTTTATGCCACGTCGTTGTTTCGGTCATGGTGCAAATCCAAAACGACAACATGCAAGTCGTGCGACCAAGTAAATTCCGCAATGTCTTTTGTAAGCCGTCGAAGCTTGACCTCTGCATGGACACCGCCAGCATGCCGTCCGAAATCACGTACTGCGCGGTTAACCCCAAATTCATTGCGTTCATCTTGGAAAACACCAACGGCTATTTTATGGTCGTTCCCCTGAACAAGGTAGAATTTTAATGATATCTGTAACTGCAGTGTAGCACCTTATGGCCAAAACTAATTCATTCATTCGCTCGCCCGCCATTTCTGTCAAGTCGCAAAGGCAGATGCTTATGAGGGTTTGGCAATGGTCCCGGTGCACCGCAGAACGGACAGACTTAGTAATCTGAGTTCAAAGGCGGGCGGGACAAGCTAGGCCCGCTGCATGATCGAGCGTTCTAGTCCGCGGTATGTTCTGAAGCATCTTTTCCGTACCTCTGCCAAGAGAGTGATCCTGACAATCTATACTATGGCACCTTCATCAAATGTCCTAACCATCAGAACTGTATATTCTTGATCTGGATAAAGAATAACTCGCAGTTCAGGATACCTCGAACTTTGTCGATTCTCAGCACAGAAGATCGAAATCTTCATCCATCAG